CCTTGCCCCTCTCTTTCTCCAAGCTCCAAGGGCCCCTCTTTTGCCTCTATAACTTGTTTCCTGAGCCCATTTCTTCTACCACTCACTTCCACCTCTGTGACTTTCTAAATAAACGTTCTCTTAGGGAATTCTCTGAATTCTTTCCTTGCCAGAACCCAAGTACGAGGTTGTTGAGCCTGGTGCCCTCACCACCAGCATAACAGCTGAGCTGCCAGCCAGGGCTATAATTCTTTTATTAAATAATATATAGAGACACTGATTTAAATGTCATAGCCAATACGACCTTGTGGTGGCGTTCACTGAAATTCTCTACCTGGCCGTTGTAAAAGAGCTTAAAATCAGGATGAAAACCCCACCACACTGAAGATGTTCACTTTCAGAAGCCCCGGCACAGGGCACAGGGCACAGGGCACAGGCGGGGAGAACTTTCCTGCTCCTGCAGGCGCCTCCGGAGTGTGAAGGAGGGAGGCCTTTCAACTGACTTGTTTGGGGACACAAGTCTTGGAAATGCTGATAAACCTACTGTCTCCTCAACAAAGAAACACTTAAACGTTCCATTTGTGTGAGTGGACCCCTCAGGGCACGTGTGCAGGGGTTGCTTGGGGCCTGGGCCTGGCAGCACCACCTGTGGGAGCTGAGGGGCACCAGGCTGGGCAGGGGGCTGAGATGTGACATGGCTGCACCTGAGCCTCAGCCGCCCTGGGCTGCAGGTCGGGCTTCTGCACCCCACAGCGACGGGGAGGCTGGGAGCCGGGGGAGGCCGTGTCCCGCACCACCTGGGCCCTGGTGCCTCACCCAGTAAGTTCAGTTCCTCCGAGCACAGCACCTCAGGGCGCTGGTCTCTTCCTGGGGACACTGAAAGAAGTGAATGGGCCACAGCAGCCTGGCCCCCCACAGTGTCTCAGGCTTCACTGCCTCCCCCCCCCAACCTGTCCAGGTTGCCACACATCCGTTTACCTGGGGGTCACCCAGTCCCATATCCCTGGGGGGGTCTGAGCTCCTGCCAGTGTGGGTGGCTGCGCCGGTCCATCTGTAACCACGTAGAAACTTCATTTATTTATTGTGATGTTTTCTCCTTCTTTTGGTTAACGTAAAAAAACCATTGAAACCTGTAAAGAATTGTTGTGAGTTTATTTGAGCCAAACTTTGGACATAGACCGGGAAGCAGAACCTCAAGGAATTGAGATAATGCTCCAGAGAATGGTGGGGTTACATCTGCATTTATACATTGCAATCAAAGGAGGGACATAGGTGGGTTACATGAAATCCATTGGTGATAGAATAGAGGTGGGAGAAAGCAAAGCAGGGAAACCCTTGGGATTGGATAAAAAGTAAAATGATGGACACATGCTTAGGTGGGTGCAGGCTCAATTAACATGATAATGAAGGAATTTGTGGTATCTGTCCTGGGGCCCAGCACATTTGGTTGTGCCCCAAGGGGTCCAGAAAAAGGGAAGTAACAAGTTACCCAGTCATTTCAAGGGTATGTTATCATAGATGCAAAAAGACAGATAGGCTCAGTTAAGGTAAAGGTTGACCTTGTCAGTGAAGATACCGGCCTAGGATGTAACTGCCACCATAACTGCTTTTAGTTAAAGTTTAATTTCAGACCATCCTTTGTGGTTACTTTAGGTCTCTGAGTTTGCAAGACTGCCATGCAGGCCTCCCCTGAGCTTGTCAGGTCAGCATGTGGCCCCTTTTGTCCACATTTCCTTTTGATCCGAACTCCAGCACCTGGCTCACCTACCTCCTCCCCTGCACATCCACTCCCTTAATCATTTAAGCCCTCAGGACAACGAGGTTCTGATCAGCATTAAATAATCTTAGGAACAAAGCCTCTGGTCTGTGTTGTGCCCGATGTTCAGGGTCCCCAAAAACCACCAGGGAGCCAAGTCCGATGCAAGATGCAAAAGAGCCTTTATTCGAGCTAGCTCGAGCTCCCCGTCCACCACACTCGCAGCGGCAGGAGGCAGAGAAGAGAGCGAGCTCTGTGGGGAGAGGGGTTTTATAGGGGGGTTGGAGTAAGGGGAGGAGAGAGGACTGTGGACCCTGCCGATTGGCCAGGCGCAAGTCGGGGTCTTGTTACACAGGATGTGGTCGTATCTATGGCGCGCACTTCCCTTGATTATCATTGGTTAGTTTAAAGAAATCCTAGGTGTGGCTAGCAGAGGCTTGGACTTCCGGAAAGAAGCTCCTTGCTGAGCACATGGCTAATGGCTGCTGCCCCAAAATGGAGGATCCGGGGCAAGATGGAGGGCGTAGCCCTCGCCTTTTCAGTCTGTTGACCACAGAGACAGAGGTCAAACTAGAGATAACATCTAGGCCACAGTTGTGTGCCTCCTCCAGGCCCAGAAAAGTGGTGACACCAGATGAAGCAACGCAACGGCCGACACCAAGACCAAATACAATGGTCACCCCCCCAACCCCCACCCCTAGTGCCAGCAAATCAGTAGAGACTGTGAGGCTTGATCCAGCAATTGGACACCCCTCCCCCGGAACTGACTTCCAGACCATTTTGCAATGGACATTCCTGATAGATCCTCCCTTCCCCCAACTGGTGGGCGGAGTATGACGTAACCTGCAGCCCGGAAATACCTGAGTGACTAACCATGTACCTTATATGGACTATACATTGGACCACCAATCCACACCTGCCAAATACCCTAAGCCCTTGGTCTATATCAGTGATGGCGAACCTATGACACGTGTGTCAGAGGTGACATGCGAACTCATTTTTTTGGTTGATTTTTCTTTGTTAAATGGCATTTAAATATATAAAATAAATATCAAAAATATAAGTCTTTGTTTTACTATGGTTGCAAATATCAAAAAGTTTCTATATGTGACACGGCACCAGAGTTAAGTTAGGGTTTTTCAAAATGCTGACATGCCGAGCTCAGAAGGTTCGCCATCACTGGTCTATATGGACAATGCAGTGAGCCACCATCAGTGTGCCCAAGTTCACTAAGCCCCCCTTCCCAGTCCGCCCCTCAAAAGGCATGCCCGCCCCTGCACTGCTGCTGTCCTCCCCTTGCGAGACAGCCCGGCAGGTCCTTCTCCTCTAATAAAGCCTGTAGTCCTGGTTTTCGGCCTCCGTCTGATTTTTCAATTCCCTTTCGCTGAGACCACATTCCACTTGCTAAGACAATTTATCACTCCCCTCCCGACCTGCACAGAGAATTCTCCGCCCAGAAAGCCCGACAAAGTCCTTTCAAACCCGCTGACTCCCGTCACTGGGGGCTGGCGCCTCTGGGGCTCAGCCACCTGGTGTGCGGACGATCCAATAAATTCGTAATCCCTCACCATTCTGGCCTCGCGTGTTCCTCCTTCGGCGACCCCAACAGAGACCCTGACCCTAACCCCTGCAGTCACCATGATTAATGCTTTGTCCCTGTGTAACCCATCCCCTGGAAGCCATTGGGCAACCAGGGCGTTGAGCGTTAGCTCGCTTGTCTGTCCCGGGCCACTTCCTAAAATTAACCCTTATTTTCTTGGCTACAAACCTGTTCCGGGCTCATTGGGTTCTGATGTGCTCAGGCAAGCAGCCCCCTCTGGTCCGTAACCCATTCACCTCCAAGATTGTACCAAGGGGCACCCAGGGGATCTGCCGGGTGTCGGCTACATTCTCCGTCCTCCCCTGATGGGCAGGCCAACCCCTCCTGCCAGGGCAGTGGCTCCTTTCTCTGCTCTCTGGGCCTTAGGAGCTTTGGGACCAGGTGGCAGCTGCTGCTTAGAGGCTCAGGGGCTCCTATTGTGTCTCCTGGAGGATGTGTTCTTCCTTGGGAGCCGGATCCCTGGACCCACAGAGCCGGAAGCTGCAGGATGGGAAGCACAGCGCCCCAGTGGGTCTGGAGAGATGACAAGTGTTAGGTTAGGTGGCTCAGGAGGCGGCGTAGGAAATAAAGAGAGTCCAGTTAATCAGAAAAGAAAGAAAGGAAAGGCTTTATTCTGCGTCCCCAGGCGGCCCACGGGCCCCAAAGACAGGGCACGTGGATCCGCACCAACAGGGAGGGGGGCGCTTTTTTTATACAGCTGTTCAGTGAGGGCGTGGGAGCATGAGCTGTGGGAGTTCCCACCGCGGGGGTCCTCACGGTTTCCAGGTGTCCTCATCTGCCTGGTAGCTGACCTGTTAGGAATTCCAGGGCGGGACCGGTATCTGCGTCACCATCTGCCTGGTGCCTGGCCTGTTACGGATTCTAGGAAGGGCCCAGGATCTGCGTCACCATCTGCCTGGCGGAGGCATGCATCAGCTCCTGGACCCCCTTCCGACCTAACAACAAGCAAGTGAAACAGGAATTTTAGGGGTAAAATAGGACAGGTTTAGGAAATTTTGGAAATTAAGGGGACCATGGAGGAAGCACAGGGCTGCAGAGCAGCAGAAGGTCTATGTCCATAGACTAGGGAAGCTGAAAAGCTGCAACGGGTACATTTCCATAGAATGAGGGAGCGGGGAACAGCAAAAGGCCTATATTTACAACATAAAGAGAAGGAAGCCCTTCATCCGGAAGGAGAGGAAGAAAGCCCAAAGGGAACAGGAAAACAATAAGGAAGGAGGGGGGAGAACTTCACATGTCCCACGTGAGGTCCGACCTTTGAGCCCAGGAGTTACTATAGTAACCAGTCTAAGGGGATAGTGACCATCAGAGGGGATATCAAGGCACCAGGATCTGCAGCCTTTACTAGTATAAGCCGGAGGGAAAAGGAAGTCAGCGGTACCCTTTCCCCCCTCCTATGAGGGAGTCCGTTCTGTGGGACTCTTCCCCCTCCCCACGTGGGAGTCTGTACTTGTTCTTCAATAAATCTCCACCTTTGCTACACCACCTTCTGTCAGTGGATTCATTCCTCGACTCCGGCGGACAATGAATCCGGGTTCCAGTCCAAAAATTTCGTTTCACAGGGGTGTTTCCCACCCTGTCTCTATTGGAGACACGGCCCCAAGCCTCAGGCTGGATCTGGGATGTATACCTTTCCTGGAGGACAGCATCCTGTCCTCGAAAGGTCTCATCACCAATTTCCATCGCTCTCCAGGTTGGAGCTCCTGGAGGTGGGAGTGCGGCAGCACAGGGGGTCCTGCTGCCTGACCCTGCAGCGTCGTCATGGAGAGGGCTCTGGGGCAGGCAGCCTGGAGCCCCAGGAAAGGAGTTATCAGACAGTCTCTGAGTCAGAAGAGAGGGCTGGCCCCAGATCAGTTCTTAGTGTGGACAAAAGGGGCCACATGCTAACCTCACGAGCTCAGGGACAGTCTGCGTGGCGGCCTTGCAAACTCAGAGACCTAAAGTAACCACAAAGGATGGTCTGAAATGAAAACTTAAAAAAATCTTTATGCCCAGTCAGTTTGGCTCAGTGGATACAGTGTCGGCCTGCAGACTGAAAGGTCCCAGGTTTGATTCCGGGCAAGGGCACATGCCCAGGTTGTGGGCTTGATCCCCAGTAGGGGGCTGCACAGGAGGCAGCCAATCAGTGATTCTCTCTCATCATTGATGTTTCTATCTCTCTCTCCCTCTCCCTTCCTCTCTGAAATCAATAAAAATATATTTTTAAAAAAATCTTTGAGAGTATTACAGATGTCCCTCTTTTTTCTCCCCCATTGCCTCCTTCACCAGTTCCCACCCCACCCCAGGCCTTCACCCTATTGTCTGTGTCCACAGGTAATGCATATCCTATATAATAAAACCCTAATATGCAAATAGACCAAATATTTGGCAGAACGACCAGTCGCTATGACAAGCACTGACCACCAGGAGGCAGACACTCAACGCAGGAGCTGCCTCCTGGTGGCCAGTGCACTCCCCATGTGGGAGCACCGCTCAGTCAGAAGCCGGGCTCTCTGCTCCTCAGAGGCGGGAGAGGCTCCCGGTGCCTCTGCTGTGCTTGCCAGCCATGAACCCAGCTTCTGAGCACAGTGGCGGTGGTGGGAGCCTCTCCCGCCTCCACTGCAGGTG